CCACCTTGTGCAACAACCTTCCAGATGCCTCAACTTGGCATCTGTGGACCATGTCCTGCTGTGTTCCAGCCAATCAGCAGCCTTGTTTCCAAATTCTCACCCTGCTAGCCCAATCCTTTTCCCTCTCCAGAACTTTCAAAGTCTTTGTGACTTCATTCCCATCCTACCCCTGGGTGCACCCTTCAAGACAACCCAGATTGGAGTCAGACTTTCACACAGCCAAGGCCATCACGTGAAGCCCTACTTGTGCCCAATTCCTGACTTGTATGGTCCCAGGGTCTCTTTCTGGGTGCAGGGGTGAGGGGAAGGAGGAAAGAGATAGGGAAGGTGAGAGGAGAAAGAAAAGACAGAGGAACACTCATGCACCCAGGGATGCCGGGCCCAGGGGTCAGTTACCCAATAAGCAAAGTAAGCACAGACTTACATGTGCTTACTTACTAATCTGTAGTGAATGACGTCACACTTTCTCACATCAAAGACTCTACTTCTAAGTGTAGCTGGCGTCCGTCTCTCTCCCAACACCACAGTACCTTCCCACAGAAGCAAGGCTTCTTTCCAAACTTACAATCCATGACAGGCATGGAGTACAAAGTAAGCAAGGTGAGCCCAGGCTTGTCTTGCTTACTGGGTAGTCCACCCCCACCTGGGCCCGCTGACCTTCAAACACCCTTGTGTCCCGTTTACACAGACGAGGAATACAGGCCCAGAGGCAAGAAGTTACTGGCTGAGAGTTAGCTGGCCAGGCAATGTCAGTGCTAGAACCAAGCGGCCGCACTCAGTTCTGGGCTTTTCATCATTCCTGTGGTGCTCACTTCAGACACAGAGCTGAAGAGAACCTCAGTTCCACTTGAGAACACATTATGGGTGCTAATCCAGGAGATAGGAGCTCTGGTAGCATAGTGCCTAAGGCACTTGACTGCTAATCAGAAGGCTGGCGGTTCAAACCCACCAGCCACTCCTCGGAAGGAAGATGGGGCAATCTACTTCCATAGTGATACTGCCTCGGAAACCCAAGGAGGGGCCACTATGAGTCAGATCTGACTCGATGGCACATAACAACAACAACAACAACAAGTCCCTCGAATAGTGAGAGGATAAATTTCTCTTGTTTTAAGCCACCTAGTTTGTGGCATTTTGTTACAGCAGCCCTAGGTCACCAACACACACACCACTGACGATTTTCAATATTTTTATTCTATTTCCTTTGTGGCTTCTACCTTTCCAGGCTGAAGAGTTCTAGTTGCTCTTGTTCTGCTTCGCGGGAGGCAGGGAAAGAGCCAGGCTGCAGGCAGCCAAGTGAGACAATCGTCTGAAAGTTTGCTTGAATTTTACATGCTTTCAGAAAAAACATTTCTACTTCAGCAGGTTCTTATTCTCATGTTCCCCATGCCCCCACTTCTCTCAAACCTATGTATTTCTTAATGGGCAGGCCCTTTTAAGGGCAGAATCTTTCTCCTAACTGTCTCTGCATTTTCCTCTCTGTGCATAAAATGAGAAGCCCTGGTGGTGCAATGGTTAAGTGTTCAGCTGATAACCAAAGGTTGGCAGTTTGAACCCACCAGCAGCTCCCTGGGCGAAAGACCTGGTGACCTGCCGTAAAGTTTGCGACCTAGGAAACCCTATAGTTTTAGCAGTTCTACTGTCATCTAAGGTGACTGTGAGTCGGAATGGCCTTGATAGCACATGATTTTGAACTATACAAAACACACCTCTATTTGCACGAACCACCAAATAAACAGTTCCTATCTCAACTCTCTTCTGTTATGCCCACAGAATACAACAAAGGCATTTCCAGAAGTACCCGTTACCTAATCAGTAACTTACATTCTTTATGCAGGCACTTTAGGATCCTTTAAACTTACGCAAACACTGAGTCTCTGAAATCTTTGCATGATAGATGTTGTTACCTCTTGCTTTAAAAATGGGACAGGCCTTTGTCTAAACCATTCATTTCTATTATCCCTAAACTTTGAAAGTACACTGCTTCTTGCTGATGCTTGAGAAATTAAACGTTCTCTGGAAAAGGTTGAGAATGACGACATTTCAGTATTCATATTCTAAAATTTCATTGCGTTTAGCCACTCTTAAAAAAACACATACACAACAATCCTCAAAACTGCTGAAAACTGCAGAAAGCTTCTGGCACGAATTTCCTCAGGGCAGTTAAGCAGTCTAGGAGACAAGCTGTGAAAAATGAAACATAGAGCCCTTCCCCTCCCCTCGGCCCTTTCACTATTGATAATGCCATTTACCAAAAAAAAAATATATATATATATACAATGAGCACATTCTAGCTATTCAGGATGCCTCGGGCTCTATTCACAGGCCAGGAGCTCCATTCCCAAGCAGAATGCTGTTCAGAGCCGGCCCTCGGCAGGGCTTAAATACTCTAGCTTGACATCGAGCAAAGATGACACCCCTGCCCCGTGTACCCACTGCCGGTGCGTGGCCTCCCCACACGCCCCTTACTGGCAATGCAGGTCACGTGCAAGGTTCCAGCAGCATGTGGTAGCTGGAACCTTCGTGTGCCTCGCTCTGGACACGCCTTTGGATTCCCCACTCATAAGGCTGGCATTGTGCTTTTCCAGCACTGCTCCACGACGTAGGTGTATTATCCATCCGCCTTTGCTGCCCGGCTGCCCACTGGCACTTGGTTTCAGACGAGCAAATTTCTAAGTAATTGCAGTGACTTCCAACCCAAACACACAGAATATCAACCCTGTTCCCCGCTAGCCACACATAGATTGGGTACTTTCTTCCAAGGTCCACGGGGCTCCAGGGCGCCACGTAAAGCCAAATGAAATCAAACCTCGTTACGGAAGGATCTTGAAAAGCAAACACTGAATCGGTTATTTGTGCAAGAGGACCTTGACTTTCAAGGTTAATGTTTAACTCCACTCTCACGCCAATCACACAAGATTCTCAAGGCCACAGGAAAATAAGCCATAGGTGATGCTACTGGGCACACACTTATTTCCATTCCCACCATGTCAATCAGCCCCTTTAAAATCAGGTTATACTGCCAGGGGGCCGGGGGCTGACTAGCTGGATCCCAGGGCATTTTTAGGGCAGTAAAACTCTTCCCTATTATACTGTCATGGTAGACACGTGACACTGTGGATTTGTCAAAACCCAGAGCACAACCCATGTAAACTAAGGACTTTAATAATAACACATCAGTGTGGGTTCATCCATTGCAACAAAGGTACCAAAGCCATGTGCAAAAACAGCGAGGAGGCCACATGTTCTGACCTCCTCTAATCCCACAAGAGGAAGACAGGATTACCAGCAGTAACCCAAGGCCTATTCCTGCCAGGCCAGACATGCTGCCTCCCTCCAGCCCTTTCTCCAACCGTTCCTCCCAAAGCACCCACCACCTCTCTCCTGGGTTCTATAATTCGTTGCAGTGGCCACACAGAACTCACAG